ACACACAACCACCTCTAGCAAGGCTCGGGGCACACTGGGGCGTATTTCCTTTCTAGGTGTGAAAACATGCTGTCCCATCCCCTCATGGTTCCCCTCAGAGCCCCTGTTGTGGAGTCTGTGTGTGGTGTGTGTGTGGGTGTGCTGCTGCTGTCGACCCGTGTGTCGTGTGTCGGCGGTATCGTGATGGACGCCTGGGGTCCGCTGTGGCTGTCTCGGATTCGGTGGCACCACCACCACCACCACCGCCGCCTTCAAAGACCCATGGATCTATGTTAGCTGATCTGGGTCAAAGATGGTAGATAAACACAGACATTCACACACATGCACACAATACACATGTAAACAGTTGTATCTCTCCGCTCTCATACACCCCGATTTTTGCTTTCCCTCTCCCTCGCTTCTCATTCGCTGCTCTCATTCTTTCATCCCTCCGTTTTCCCCCCTCCTTCATTTATTCATGCAGAGACAGGCAGCGGGACGAAGTGATCTTGGGAGATGTGTGTGTGATCACTTTAGATGAGGTCCTGTAGAGGGCAACACATCTAACATACAAACACACACACATATGGGCATGCCATCAACTCTGGTCGATGTCACTGGATGAACACCAGACAGATACAGTCTCGGCAGGCATAGTATTGCACTGTAATGAGTTGATTCATAGGCTGCATGTAGCACATACAGGGCTGTTTATACTGTAATTGCCAATGTACCAATTTTACCTTGTGCATTATTACAGTCTAACTTCTGGCATAGTTATCGCTCAGCACCAATGATGATTGTCTCTTTTTTTCAATGATCTGACAACCAGCTGATCGAGGAGCACAAATTTGTGCTGTTTTATACCTATTTAGTCATATTTTGCAACATTTGGAGGACAGACACAAATGAGGACAGATGGATCACGGGTGACTTCTACAGTCATTTCTGCAATCTGTCTGTTCTCGCTCGCTTCCTCCATCCTGCAGCAGCCTCCCTCATTGTGAATGGTGTCCCTGTGTTATTAAAAGTGATGAAATATCCCAATAATTAACTTTAGCCATTTGGGAGGATGCACACAATAACAAGATGATTCTGATCAGATTCTGCTCCAGTTAGGCTATTAGGCCAGCCCAAACAAATTTAGGAGATTTGGTTGAAAGCTATGTCATAGATTTTCTCTCAGGCTCCCCCTCACTGCGCTGTGATGTGGAGATTTTTGGCTGAGCTGGCAGCTTTGGCGCTTAATAAATTCCACACCGGGGAGTTCAGCTATAGAGAGTGGGCCAGAAGACAAAAGCA